TAAGAAAACATTATGACGGCCAAATGATAAAGCTACACAACAAACACAAAAAAAAAACAAACAAAAAAACCTTTCTATGCTTTTTTTTTTCTTCTCTAAAATTTATAAGACAAATGTAGCAGCAGCAGAGGCTGCAGCAAACTTGACGTTTTGTAAGGTAAAAAGCTGCACAGCAAAAAGCAAAAAAAAAATTATGTGTGAAAAAATCCTCTCACTTTCTTTTGAAACTTGTTTCTTTGGGTATTAGCAGTAGGTGGTTGGTTGGTTGTTTTACTGTATGCCTGCTTGCTCTGTCGTTTGGTCGGGTTGTAATAGCCGTAAAGTCGGTCGCTGCTGCTGCTGAGTTCATTCACATTTAAGCCTGATATGAAAATGTGGACTCTGATGCTGCTACTTATAACAGTGGTGCTGTTAAAGTTGATGGGTTATGTTAGTAGTAGCAGTAATATTAGCAGCGTAGCAGCAACTTTTGTTAAAAGTTTTGCAAATGGAACACACTGAGTATGAGTATGAGTATTAAAGAGTGCAGTCACTTGAGCATGATATTTCTAAAAAATAAAAATTTGACTTATTTCAATAATTTGAAAATGTGAAGTCAATTTGATTTATTTAGTAATAAATTTTTAAAAATTAGAAAATTTAAAAAAAAAATTTCTTTTAATTTATAAAATTATAAACATATTTTTCAATATATATTAAAATATTTACTATAAATATGTAAAAGTTTTTTAAAAAAAAATTTTTTTTCTAATGTTATAAAAATTTATAGAAATTTTTAAAAACATTTTTGACAATATAAACATATAGAAAAACTACAAAATATTATTAGCTTTTATAGTAACTTAAACTGCATTTAAATTCACTCTATTAATCAAAATAATCTGTACAATTTCAAAACTAATAAAACTAATAAAAGTACTGGTTAATTATCAGTCTATATAAGATACGAAAAATAAAATTGTAATAAATTATTTGCAAACATTTTTTTAAACTAGAGTATTTGAAAGGTTAAAAATATTTTCAGACATATCAACTACCTACATAAATAATTACTTGCAACAATGTATATATGTATATATGAACGAAAAAAAAAAATTGCATTTTGCAATTCTAACTGGGTACAATTTTTACTATACAATCACTAAAACTCAGTGCAGCTAAAATATATACAAATAAAAAACATTTTTGCTATGCAACCCATGAATTTTTCGTACTACAATAACCGAGTTTTCTATGTCGTTGACCGACCGCCAGCTTTTGAACTCTGCTTGCATTTGCTAAAAATTTTTTTATTTCTATTTAAAATCTATTTTTTTCTATTGAAATTTTTTTGTTTTTGTGAATTTTGCATTACAGTTTGCTTTGAATATTTTGCACGTTGAGTTCGAAATACATTTACCTTCAAAATGCACTCTCTCTCATATTCGCAAGAACATATACTCAAATACAATTACTCAAACTCAAAACTCAAAAATTCTGTTAATAAAATTGCAAGAGTCATCAGCAGAAAATGTTGTACGAGTGTATAGTTAACCTAAAAAAACCGAAAACGAAAAAAATAAAAATACTCATACGTAACAGCAGCAGCAGCGTACGAACGAACCAACAACGAACAAACGAACGAACGAACAAATAAACGAATCACCGAATCAAACGAAACAACATATTAAATAGCGAGTGGCGCGCAGAGCTCCATATTTCGAGGTTGCTGACCGAAAACTGGGTCACGACAATGATAAGTTCGTTGAACTGACATCGCTGCTGTCGCTGTTACGTACTAACGTACTAACGTACGTACGTACGTACATTCATTCGCTTATATTTTAAGTTCGTACGAGACACACATTTTGTCCCGCTGTTTACTTGGTAGCTAGCTGCTGCCTATCAGTTGTAGGCACTCACTGCTCCACATATAAATATATATACATTTTTAACAATGTAGGTATGTACATGTATGTATGCTGTTATAAATTTGTGCTTTTGTCTTTTTGCTCTTAGCTTTGTTGTTGCTTAGTTTGCCTTGCTGCACGTCATTAGTGTTTGAGTACAAATGCATGTTTGTGTTAGGTTTGGTTTTTTGAGTGGTGGTACAGTGTTTGTGTAATTTTATTTTGTTTGCTGTATATGGCATATGGCATACGGCGTTGGATGGATGAATTTGATTTTCTGATTTGTATTTATTTTTATATTAAATGGTTTTTATTTTATTTTAATTGTAATAAATTTTGTTGTTGCTATTTGCGCGCAATTATCAATTTTTCAAATTAGGTTTTTTATTGTTAATTCTTAAAATGAGACTTTATACTCCCAAAATTAGTAGGTTTCGCTCAGTACAAGTGAAAATTTTATTATTATAACAAAATAAATGAAGATAAATTAAAATATTTAAATGCAATAAAATTATAAGAAAATTCTTTTTTAGTTTAATTTAAAAATAAAAAGTAATTGTGAAATTTCTTATTTTTATTGTTGAATTCAAGAGACTTTATGCTCCTAATAATTAGTAGGTTTTGCTCAGTACAAAGGAATTTTTTATTATTACAACAAAATATTTTAAAATCAAAAAAAAAAATTATATAAAATAGAATTAAAGAACTTTTTATATTTAGATTTATGCACAATTTAATTTTATATAAATAATTTAAAAAAATAAAAGAAACATGATTCTTTTTTAAATTAAGCTCTGAACATAACGATGTTCGCTTTATGTACAGCTTCCTTATTATGTTTTTATATAATAAATTTTTGTTAAATCCTCATTTCATGCAATAATTTCAAGAGATTGCTAGCAGATACATTCAGATTATCTGCAGACTTTTGTACTATTATGCTAATGCATAATAAGATTATCTGCAGACTTTTGTACTATTGTGTTAACACTGTTGCTGAGAGGACAATACAAGGGACTTCCTTTTTTTAAAGAACTTTTAGATCTTGATCGTGTCCAGTATCTCACTATAACGAGTATCTTATGCTTTGCCAAAGTTTCAAGGTAGTTTTTGAACCCCTGAGTTTTTACGCGGTACCACAATAAACCAATTCGCCTAATACTGGATTTACATGAGAGTTTTGTTTGTAATTTTAGCTGTCAAAAATTTTCATTTAGCATTGAAAGCAACAGCAATTGACAGCTTAAATTACAAACAAATCTCTCGTTTAAATTCAGTATAAGTGGATCCTTACACTGATACATTACACTATAACGGCATAAACCCGTTTTAATTGTTTTAATGGAGAATTGTTGGTACACTTATTATCGCAGTTTAAAATTAGTTGTTGTGCTAATACAAATATTTGTTTTTGTATGCCTTTTATTTAAAAAAAAAGAAATATTAAAGTGCTTATATGAAAATACAATCAAGAAATTTGCATACAAAATTTGTCACAAATGCTTTTATCTCGTAAAGGTAGAACCTTTCAGTACTAAGTTGAGGAAATTTTAGACTTTCAAATACAACAATACGCTAACAAAACATAGAACATATTTTGTTAATTTAATTACCAACAATAATAACACCAGTTCCTTTCATTGGAACACATTAAATTAATTTAATTTGGCAGTGTGAACAATACTTTTGTCTATATATTAATTAAAATAGTTGGCAATTCCTTTGATCTACATATGTGCTATGAAATGCAATTAAATATTTTAACAATATTTTCATTAATCTACCATAATAAATTGTCGTAGTGCTCATATCTATCAGGTGTAAGCGTAGAGCGTGTGGAACAAATGGAAGACAAATTTTTACAACATAACGCGTAGGTGTTTGACACATGAAAATTCTAAGAAAAGTGTATTAAGTATAAAAAGCGAAAAAAAAAATCACGAAATAAAAAATAGTACAAAAATACTATTACTCGTATCTAATGGGCATTGCATATATCCATATGTATATATATATATTTTTTTTTTATTTAAATTAAAATTAATATTCTTTTTATTTGCTGCATTTGTTGTTAGAACTGTGAGTAGTAGTAGTTGTTGTTGTTGCTGCTGATAATAGAACTGAGTGTGTATAAGCTCTTTTTTTTGGTGTGAATGTCCTCTGTTACCCTACAATTTTAATGTAGCGCGAGGTTGGCAGCTCAAAATATGCATAGAAAAATGAGAAAAAAAAAGAAAATTAGAAAAAAATTTATACAAATTGAAAATTCACTCATTTCACAATACACATTTCATACAATATAAATGAAAATCACACTCAAAATGTCACTCCAAATTTTAGTCCATTGAGCTCGCCTGTGCTCCCCAATACGAAAAAACGTGAACGTGAACGTTAACACACTCAATGTACATCGCACTCACTCAACTGCTTGCTGCTTGTGTACGAGCGCAATAGCAACGATCCAACGAGCCAGCGAAGCAACGAGGCAACGAGGCAACGACAACGACAACAACCACGCAGCAGTTGAATAAACAATTCGTTGTTGTGCTGAGCAATCATTCGCAAATTGCTTGTCAAACGCAACGGTTTAGTGTGAAAATACTGAGCGCGTTATTTTATGTGAATTATTAGAAAAATCAAAATAGTTAAAATATAAATTTAAAATACAAATAAGTTAGCTAAATTTATCTTAAATGTTTTAACAAATAAACGGAAAATTGAAAACTGTCCAGTTAAGTGCAAATATTACGTAGAAAAAAAAAATAATAAAACAAATTGTTGTGCTCGCTACACTAACAACAGCCACAACGTCTAGTGTTTCTACAAAAATAAATTAAAATATAAAATCGTCGCCCCTGAAGGTTTATATGAAAACGTTTATGAAACGGCGTGGATAATTTTACCAAATAATTTTAAGCATAACTTGCGCTGTGTTATATGAAAATAGTTAGCAAAATAAAATTTATTATTAAAGAAAAAAAATTGGCGCAAATTTTTAAATGGAAGGAGTGGAATTTTTTTAGCCAATAAGTAGCGAATAGCAAATATCGCAACAACAAAAGCATGATTTCAATTCAAAATGTTCCTTATTAGTAAATGTTAGAGAATAATTAACATAAAAATAAAAAAAATTAAGTGTCATAACCAAAAATCTTAGTAAAATATTAGCATTTAAAAAATGGTTTGTGCAATGCAAGAATTAACTGCTGCAGCAATTGCTGCCAATGAACAGCAGCAAACGCAACACCAACAACACCAACAACTGCAAGCAACACAGCAGCAGCAACATTTTAACCCGCCGCAAATGTTACAGCAACAGCATCAACAGCCACATATGACAACGATTGTCTTGCTAACAACACCTGCCCACAACCAAACACATGCAACAGCAGTAGCAACAGCAATGAACGGTGTTAGGACAACTACACAAACAACAGCAACAAATCGTTTGCCTGCCATGAAAAGTCAACAATTGAAGCAAAAACATTCTGCTTTGGTTAAATTATTGGAATCGGCGCCAATAACAAAGAGGTCGGCCACTAGTCCAATAATTAAACAGCAGCAACAACAACAACAACAACAGCAGCAGCAAAGACAAATTGTTTACTTTACACAAGAACTGCCACAACAACAACACCAGCAGCAGCAACAGTTGTTGCAAAGTTTAGAAAATACAAAAGTTGTGACACAACGCAAAAGACTGAAAAGCACATTAACGCCAACAACAAATGAACAACAACAAACAAAAAACACATCGTTGTTGGTTGCTCTACCAACATCAGCAATTGTTGGCGCAATTGAAAGAAACACAACAATTGCCACAAATAATACAAATAATACAAAGACAACAACAACAAATAGTATTAATAATAAAAATGTTGCCACAATTAAATTGGAATCATACGTCGAGCAACATGAGAATTGCATAAAGCAGCAACTGAAACATGCAGCAACATGCAATGATAATGAATCAGGCATTGATGATGATCATGATGTTGAAAGCGATCATGAAATTCCGCCCAAAAAATTAGTAAGTACTGTAGTTAATAGCAGCAATAATTATACACCCGCCACCGAACAACAACAACAACAACAACAAAGTAAAGAAAATTACGAACACTATCAGTGTCCGTGGAAGAAAATTCGCTATGCTCGTGAGTGGAAACAGCGTGAACAACAACAACACCAGGATCAAAATCAAAACCAACAACAGCAGCAGCAACAACAAGCGATGGCGGCAAATTTGACAAATGCCGTCGGCAATAGTAACAATGCCACCAACATCGCTAACGCCACCGTCAATGAAAACAGTCAAAATTGTGATACCGAAGCAATGGACACCACCAATGCTAGCCATGAGCTGCGGCAGGAAGAGGAACAACAATATAGAAATATTGTTATAAAACGTGAAGTAACCTTATCCGAACAAACACACAAAGAAATCACAATGTTGTTGCAACAGCAGCAACAACAACAACTGCAGCAACATCGACGTGATAGTTCGGACAGTAATTCATCACTGCTTAGCAATTCCAGTACGCAATCGTTGAATGGTTGTACGTGTACACCACAGCAACTAAAACTGCAGGAGCAATGTGACAATGAACGCAAGCAACGAGAATATTGCCAATGCAATGATTGTCAACTGCAGGATATGGACTCAGGTTGTGATGATGAACTCTGTGAATTGCATCATCATCAACAGCAGACGCACTCTTTCTTAGAGCAGACAACCTTAAATTATTTGTGTCAGAAATTTGATGAAAATTTGGAAACTTCTGCTAGCAACAACAACAATAACAGCAACAATAGTTGTAGTAATGATGGTGACAGCAACAATGATAACATATCAGCAACAACAAACGCACATAAAAATAATATAAAAAATAATGCCAACGCTGTTAGTGAAGATAAGGAAGAAGCAGCGGCGGGAGCGGGAAATGATGTACGTTTTATACAAGTACAAATTATAGAATTTATATAAAATAATATTATAATATTACATAATATTATAATGTAATTGCTTTTATTAGAATTAAATATATTTAAATTTAATATATTGTAATATTATAGTATAATAATTTATAATGTTACAAAATATTATAATATATCACAATAGTTTATATCACAATGGTTTTATATAATGCGATTATATTATAATATAAAATAATATTACGTTATAGTATAGTATATAAAATATTATATTATAATGCAATAATATTTTATATTATTATATTTTAATACATTATAACATTATATATCTTAATTCCTCATTTCAAATTTTTCATGTTTATTTTTTATGTTATTATTTTCATTTTCATATTAAATAGTATCTATTATACTATATTAACTATTTCAATATATACTTATATTAGTATATACGCTATATATATATAGCCCGCTATCGGTTGCTTGTTTTCGTCATTTGGTAGTACCAAATATCTTCATATAGTTGCACACTTGTTCTTTTCACCCAAGATTCGGTCGTCCTCTACTGCGTTTTACACCAGCGGGTACTACATCAAAAAACTTTCTAGTCTAAGCCCTTTCTTCCTTTTGAACAACATTATTATATATATATTATGTTATTATGTCTATATCATTATATATTATTTTATTATATATTATACAATTATATAGTATATTATTACTTATAAAATTATGTTAGTAGTATCTGTTTACGCAGTATAAACAGTCAAAATAATAAACTTATTTTTACACACCATCCTTACCGTTTTTAATCACAATTTTATATACATATATGTATAATATTTTATTAAAACAATTTTTAAAAATAAGTAATTATTATAATGAATTTTCAATATTAAACAAATAAATATTTAATTAATATATTTTATAGCGTATAGTGTACATTTTATAGTGAAATGAATAAGATAATATTAATTAAATACATTTTTTAATATATTAAAATGACTAATGTTTTTTCCCTTTCCTTTCAGGGCTTTTTTCGTCGATCCATTCAGCAGAAGATACAATATCGTCCATGTACAAAAAATCAACAATGCAGTATTTTGCGCATTAATCGCAATCGCTGCCAATATTGTCGGCTGAAAAAATGCATAGCCGTCGGCATGAGCCGTGATGGTAAGTGAAAAACAATTAATTATTATTTATTATAAGTATATACCATTATCATTGAGGGTAAAGTATGTCTGAAATTAATTTTTTTTGGTTACATAAGTGAATAATAATACTCAATGCTGTAATGTACCACTATTTTGACACATCAACTACGTTAAGAAAGTTTGTTAATTGAAAAAGAATAACAACATACTATAGACCTTTGCATAGTTGCAAGGAAGTTTAGAGAAACACAACAATTAGGTAGAATTAATCATATAAAATAAATACCCTTGCAAAGCTTTAAACAAAATATACCATTAAATCAAAAAGAAGAGAAACACAAAACTTACAAATCTAACCCCACAATAGTGACAACAACAACAAATGAAACTTATTGCCCAACATGCAAATTTCATTTTAAATTTCTCAATTCGTTTCTGGTACAAATGAAATGAAGTCAAAAATGCTACAGCAACACAGCAAAATTAGCAACAACAACAATGCTTGCTTGCATAGTCCGTCTGCCACACATGAGTTGTCAAATTTTTATCGTTTGCCTAAGTTAAAAAGTAGCAAACTGCTACTGTTAGCAGCAGCTACAACAAAAATAAACTTTTTAAAAATATTTAAAATAAATATTTTTTTTGAGCTTTTATTTTTTGGTTCATTTAGATAAGATTACAAAATTATTTAAATTAAATAAAATAAAAATAAAGTAAAGGCAAATCACGCTCAAAAATAATAATTATTAGAATATAAAAATCTTAACAACAACACAAAACACTTAAATGCACTTAAAAAATATTTAGTTATTATTGTTCATTTAATATAAATGAACACACATGCAGCTATACACCACTCTATAGAAAGGTATACTCATTGTAAGGGAGTTAAGTAGCAGTAAGGTGTTGTAATTGAATATAAGTGTAGGGTATCAAGCATACAAACATACACACACAACAATATAAATAGTCAGACAGTAAGACATATACTAACGAGCAAGCCAAAAGTTAGTGTGCAGGCAATGTGCTTGCCTGCACGACGAGTTCATTGACCAGCCATGAACGCTTTTTCTTAAACGATTGGGCTATGCCGACTGCTAACGAACGTGTCTGCTATGCCATTCGTGCGCTTATATGCTGCATGCAGCAAGCTCATACACACACACACATACACACACACGTATAAGTAATAAGAAAAAAAGTTGCTAGTTTTTGTAGTTGCTATTTTATTATCAATGGAAAAAAAGAAACAAACCTAATATAAAATATTCCTATTAATGTTTGAAATGAGATTTTTTTTTGATAGTTTTTCTTTTTTTTTCAAGTAAACTTATCGTATTAAAATAGGTCATAAATTAATAAAATGAAATAAATTCGTTAAATTAGTAAAAGAAATTTGCGACTCTAAAAAATATGAATAAGAAATTTAATAATCAAAGAAAAAAAATTATACGAACAATAGTACAAAATAGTTATTTTAGCTAATAATTGAAATTATTTAATTTTAATTTCAATCACAAATTTTTTTTTGTAATATTCATAAAGTTCAATTATTATTCAATAATATATATAATAAATAATTATTAAAAATAAATTATAAAAATAATCAAAAACAAAAAAAAAAGTATGCGATCAAAATATAAATTATTTCTAAGAGATATGTCAAGTAATGTTGCCGTATGAGTATCACAAATTACACAAAATCACAAAAACAACAAATATTTTATTACAAAACACAAAATAAAGCACTCAATGCGCCCGCATGTCTTACAAAATTGTGCTAAAAGTTGAACGACCGCACTTAACCCAAATTTTTGCTACCATAATCATATGCATAGCAGCAGAGCACAGTACAAATAACAAAAGAGGGGGGAACAAACAATTAAAAAAATAAAAATGAACAACTTCAGTATGAGCAAGCAACATAACAACATATGGCTGGCTGCTGAGTGTAATACCATACAAAAACAATTTTTATATTATATTTTGCTCTTAAGCATTAGGCATATACACATATGTGGCATATATTATTATTTTATTTTCATTTTACATATTTTAATTTCCCAAACAAATCAAAGCAAACTAAACTCCACATACTACTCAAAAACAACAACAACAACCAACAACAAATATCTTATGCCTGTGCCATATTTTTTTCTACTTTAACTTACTTGACTCTTTTGTAGTGCTAAATTTGAAAAAAATATAGTCCAACACAAAAATAAAAACAACGAAAAAAAGTAAGCAAATATCCGCATAAACACTCAACAGAAAATAACTCGCGAGTTATGAGGAAGTGTGCTCATTTCAATTCGGTTATTTTATTGTTTTTGTAATTGCCATAAAATTATGTAGGCAGAGTAGACAAGCAAAGGCAGTAAGTGGTAAATAGCAAGTCAGTGCGCCATTATTATTAATACTTATTAGTACTTGTTACTAATTTAATTCATTTGTTTACTGTACGATTTAAAATTTTCAATGAAATAAAAAAATTTATTATTAGCAAGATTAAATAAATTAAATAGTTCAATTAAGTTATATATTAATGTAAATGTTATGTATATATTTTTTTAATTGAAATTATTATAATAAATAAACTAAAAAAAATTTTTTTTTTATTAATTTTATTATTTTAAAAAATATTTTAATATAAAAAAAATTGATTATATAATAAATTTGTTGTTTTTGAAAAGTTATATTTTGTTAATATTGATAAAAAAAATTATTACTATAAAATAATTTTTTATTATCAAACAAATACGTTTTTATTTAAAATGTATTTTCATTGTTAAAAAAAAATATTTGGAAATAAAAAATAATGTTAAACTATTTTAAAAACTATTTAAAAATAAAACTGTTTTAAAGTATAGAAATTCCAAAAGCAATATTTATTTTGAATTATATATTATCAACAAAACTATTTTAAAAAATTTAATTAAAAATATATACTGTTTTTAGTTAATTTAATACTTTGTTTTTTAAATATATTTTTATTTAGAAATATGTTTTTATTTACAAATATATTTTTATATAAAAAATATGTTTATACATAAATGTATTTTATTTAAAAATATTTTTGTATTTAAAAAAATATTTTATATCTAAATAATATTTTTATATATTTACTAATAATTATTATAAAAAATTTATTATTAATATTAGTTGTATATAATACTAAATATGTATTTTTATTAAAAAACTGTTCATTCAAAAACATAGTTTTATATTTTATTTTAATAATTTTATTAAAAAATAGATTTTTACTTATAAATATATTTTTAAGTTTATTTAAAAACATTTTTGTATTTTTAAATATATTTTTATTTAAAAGTACATTTTTATTTAAAATTATGTTTTATAAATGCATTTTAATTTTTATATATATTTAAATATATATTTTATATATATATAATACGAAATATATATAAAAATAAATAAATATTTTGAATGTTTATATTTATATATATGGTATATAAATATATATTTATATTTTAAATAAAAAAATATATATTTAAATAAATTTATATAATATACATATACCTATTTATATATATACATATATAAATTAAATATATATCAATTTAAATATTAACTTTTATTTAAAAATATGCTTTTGTTTGGAGATATATATTTATTTTAAAATAATATTTTAATTTTAAATAATTTCTAATTTTTAAAACCATTTGGATTTTTTTTATATTTACGTATAAAGCAGTTCAAATTTCATATTTGTTTTTTAACTTTCAATCTACGTAAATAAATAACGTTAACGTCAACGCTAACTTTGCTCGCCACCGTCGTGCATTGACTCTAACGACTTTGTACGTTAATTTATATGGTAGGTTGGTTGGTTGATAGGTAACGAGTAGTTTATTGGTGGTAAAAGCTGCCATGCCATAGCAATAGTAAAACAGTAGTAGTAGTAGTTACTGTTGTTGTTGTTTTATTACACGAAGTGAAAACGAAATCGAAAGTGGTCTTATGAATTGTTGTTGTTGTAGTTGTTGCTGTGATAAAATGTTTGTTGTTGTATGTTGGGGTTAACATGTAAGCAAACAACTAATAAATTTGCTTGTGGTTTGTGAAGAGGGAAGAGAGTAGAGGAGTGGGTTGTATTAATAAATTTTATTTTTCTTTAGTTTTTAGCGTTGGCATTAATAGTTATTACTGCTATGGGTGTTTATTTGATTGATTGAGGTTAAATTTTATTATTATTGTAATATTGAATTGATTTTCTATTAAGAAATAATTGACTAAAATCAAGCAGGGTTGTTTTCTGCAATAATGTTTTCAGTTAACTATACAAAATATGGTTATATTGAATATTTGCGTTTGAAATAAAAAATATATCTCAGTGATTTCTATTATTTAAATCTTTTTTTATTTTTAAATAATGTTTAAATCCAAAGAAATAAATATAAAATGTTTTTATTATATACAAATTATTAATTAATTTTTTTTCATTGTCTTTACTTTTAAACGCTAAGTCCGATATATATTAGTGATTAAACTATTTTTGTTCTGAATATATTATTTAAAAGCAAAAAATTTTTAAAAATTTTCTTTTTGAAATATACTTTTTCAAACATTTTTTTTTTCGTTATTTTATATATAACGTATATAGCCTATTTCGAATATAACGTGTTTCAATTCTAAATGAATCTTTTTTTATATAAAATATAAATTGTTAAACAATATTTTTCCAATATTATTACTTTACTAATTAGTGTAGTTCAATTTCAATATTATATCTTCTTATTCTAAAGATATTTACGTAAATTACAAAAAATATTTGTATTCTACTTTAATAAAACATAAAACAATTTCATATTCAATAATTTATTCCATGCAAAATATCACGTAATCATATTAAATGTATACAACCTTAATAAAAAAAGCCAATGATTTAGTACAAAGGGTAAAACTTAACCTTCATTAAAATATACGAAAAAAATGGAACATTAAAAATATTTTCATTGAAATACTTTACAAATTCGTATACCTATAAATATAATATACTAAATACG